CACCCCGAGCCCCCCCTTGCACCACTTTCAGAAGCCTTCTGGGGCTTTTTCAGCAGTGAAAATGCACCTCTGAAAGCCCCGCTTTGCCACGGGGGGCCATGAGGGGGGCGTGCCTGCCCCTGCCACACTCCCACCCACACCCACCCTGGCAAAGCGCAGGTTTCAGAGGCTTCCCCAGTGCATTTCCACTTCCTGTTTACCTGCTGGGGAAGCTTCTAAGACCAGCGCCGATCAGCTGTGAGGCGGGGAGGGGGAGGGGCTGGAGCGGAGAAGATGGCTCCCGGCTCTTTTCTGGGACGGATTCCTCGCAAGAAGATCGTGCGCCCCGCCGATCAGCTGTGCGAAAACGGGGGCGTTTGCGACGATCGCTTCCATCCCTCATCGCAAACGCCCCGTTTTCACACAGCTGATCGATGAGCCTTTGTGAAGATCGCGCGGCCCCACCGATCAACTGTGCGAAAATGGGGTGTTTGCGATGATGGGGGAAAGCCACCATCACAAAGTGATTTTTCCCCATAGGGAACATCGCAATGCGATCGTAAAATCTTCATCACTGTGCGGATTCGTCGTTAAACGGGGCGCCCGTTAAGTGAGGCACCACTGTATTTCATCCAGTTTTCTTCAGTATTTTAATAAGCCAGGTGCCCCTTGACCACTCTCTCTGAGATTCCAATAGCTGATGGGAGTCCACTGACTTTCCTTATTCTCTGCTTTCCTTGACATAAGGAGTGGTAAGTGTACGGCAGTCTCAGTGGACATCATAGTGGGGAGAAGTGAGTTGAGGAGGCTTTCATCTCCATCCTACCATGAGTGATGTTTCATTTTCAGTTCATAGAGAACAGAGCTTTGAGTCCAAAGTGGTACTCTGTACAACAAGGCTATCTGTAGCATCCCAAATGTAGCATCCTGTACCTCCTAGCTGTCGCTAAGCATTGGGAGCCTATGGCTGGAGTGTATGTTTTGTGCTGTAAAGTCAGAACCAACTTAAAGGTAAAGGTTCCTACTGACAATTTTTGACCAGTCGTGTTCGAATCTAGGGGGCGGTGCTCATCCCGGTTTCCAAGCCACAGAGCCAGCGCTTGTCCGAAGACAATCTTCCCTTCCGTGGTCACATGGCCAGTGTGACTTAGACACGGAACGCTGTTACCTTCCCACCGAGGTGGTCCCTATTTATCTACTCGCATTTGCATGCTTTCGAACCACTAGATTGGTGGGAGCTGGGACAAGCGACGGGCACTCACTCCGTCACATGGATTTGATCTTACAGCTGAAGATCTACAGACCTTACAGCACAGAGGCTTCTGTGGTTTAACCCGCAGCGCCACCACGTCCCTTACAGCAATGCTAATAGAGTTTTGAAGATAAGTGAGATATTAAGGAGTGGTTTTACCAGTTCTACTCCCACAGTGAATCTCCATGACCAGATGGGCATTTGAACCCTATTCCTCAGAGTCCTAGTCCATCACTCTGTCTACTAAGCCACACTGGGAATGTATGGCTAGAGAGAGGAACAGAATATGGAAGTTGCAGAAGAGAAAAAGAAACTGAGATTGTGGAACACCTTGCATGAGCAGAAGAGCCAGGAATCTTTTTGGAACCAAGCCATTTAAAGTATAGGATCCTGCATTGTTTTAAAACTGGGTAGAATAAAATGATTTTTTTTCTTCTTCTTTGGAGTTTTTATATATGCCGCTTAGAGTGGTCCTAATCCGACCAGATAGGCGGGATATAAAATAAAATAAATAAATAAATAAATACAACAAATCTAGATCATTTATGGTGCTTCTAAATCTGAAAATAAGTGCTTGCCTGAAGTAGTGGTTTTTCTTTTTTTTTAAATGTCAACAATTTTAACTCTTTTGTACAGGATTATTAATCATCCCTTTCTGAAAAATAATGATTTACAGAAACTAGGAAAGCAGGTTTTCCAAACAAAACAGTATATGGCATATAACTGGTTCAAGCAGTGGTATTTTTGAGAGGAAGGAGGTATTTGTTGGAATGAGAAATTGTAAGGGCTTTTCATGAGAAGATAGTTGAATGAGGAGAAAAACATTTCTTTAGAAAAGCTCACAAATAAAATGAAAAGAGATGAGATCTGAATTGTGGACCAAAGGGTGAAGTGAAATGAAAAGTCTTTCCAAAGTGTAAGAGTAAAAAAAAGGGATACAGAAAGGCACATAGAAAGGCGATCAGGGCCTTTGTGATAAGAGGAAGAGCTTGAAATGGATATGTCAAGAAATGGCAATGTAATAATGGGTTTCAAATATAGGAAAGAGTATGATGAGAAAATTGAAGCAAGAGAAAATGGTAGGAGTTGAATTTTGCCATAAAATTTGTTCATGCAAGTGACTTCCCTCCTCACCCACCTCTGTTAACCACTTGGGAATGTTTCACATTTTGTGCCATAGCTTTGCTTAGTAAAGGATGTAAAAAGTTTTTTTCACTCAGCAGATGCTAGTGATAAATCAAGTTTCTCTATAAACACTTTATTTTATTCTCCTTCAACCCAAGTAGGTCTCCTTTTCAATAGTGAATCAAACTCTAATATTTATTTTTTCATAGACCATCTACTGATGACGACGATGATGATTTTTAGCATTGTTTTGCTGCTGCTGTATTCATTCCTACAATGGGTACTCTTAAGCGCATTGGCTCCAAAGTCACCTTTTTCTATTCTAAGAGGAGTTATTTTTCACTAGCAGATTGTCGGAAGTCCTGCTTCTTTTGTTACAATCTTTGTATAGTGTAGGATATGTGTAGGATGAGATCTAGATGTAAACAGTTTTTTTCACTCAGCAGATGCTAAATCAGTGATAAATCAAGTTTCTCTATAAACACTTTATTTTATTCTCCTTCAACCCAAGTAGGTCTCCTTTTCAATAGTGAATCAAACTCTAATATTTATTTTTTCATAGACCATCTACTGATGACGACGATGATGATTTTTAGCATTGTTTTGCTGCTGCTGTATTCATTCCTACAATGGGTACTCTTAAGCGCATTGGCTCCAAAGTCACCTTTTTCTATTCTAAGAGGAGTTATTTTTCACTAGCAGATTGTCAAAAGTCTTGCTTCTTTGTATAGTGTAGGATATGTGTAGGATGAGATCTATGATGAACTTTTAACACTTTCTTCATTGCATCTGATGAAATGTCAGAGTACATTTTCTGTTTCCTCCAGTTTCATGGTACAGTTGATACTGAAGAGAGGTTACAATTAACATATTTAACTCACTCTCCTCTAACTGTGTTAAGGGTAAAGGTAAAGGTTCCCCTTGACAATTTTTGTCCAGTTGTGTTCGACTCTAGGGGGCGGTGCTCATCCCCGTTTCCAAGCCATAGAGCCAGCGTTTTGTCCGAAGACAATCTTCCGTGGTCACATGGCCAGTGCGACTTAGACACTGAACACTGTTACCTTCCCACCGAGGTGGTCCCTATTTATCTACTTGCATTTGCATGCTTTCGAACCGCTAGGTTGGCGGGAGCTGGGACAAGCGACGGGTGCTCACTCCATTGCGTGGATTCGGTCTTACGACTGCTTGGTCTTCTGACCCTGCAGCACAGAGGCAGCCCCACCACGTCCCCTAACTGTGTTAAGACTGGAGCAATCATAAACCTATTGATCTTGATTACATTCAGCACCAGAGCTGAATCCTCAATACCCACATTTAGCAAATGGCTAGCATATTTGATTTAACTGAGTAATTTCTCACTCATCTAGCTTTGGATTTGAGGTGACTGACTGAGCAGTGAAACTGTGTTATCTCTGATCTCTTTAGAGTCTCTTGTGAGAGCTTGTTCCACAAAACAGAAACAAGGGAGAGGAGGGAATGAGACTAGTTGCATTGTGTGCAGATTCTCTTGAATATGTATTATTGGCTGAAATCCTATTTCTTAGCATAGAAAGTGACACTGAATCTGTGGAAATTTGATGAGTTAACTCCTCTTTAATTTCCATTGATTCCATTGCTACTCTGGTAGCAACATTATGATAAATTAATGGACTTACTCTAGTCAGGCCAATACAAGTTGTGGCTTACTTTAGTGTAGTAAGTCACAGTTAAAGTAGGGCTATTTGAATCACACTATAGTACACTAAGGACTTAAACTGTGTTCTAAAATTGTACCTTTCTGTTGCTGAAAGCTTACATACTGGTGTTCCACCCTCTTTTAAACAAAGAAATTGACTGGCTAAAATTTTAATCAGCTTTATTCATACCTCTAAGGATAATCAGTGTATAGTATTGGAAAATAAAGACAATCCACTACTTGGACTCGATTTGAAAACAGATCAACAGATAAAATTCCTTATGTTGCCTGCTTTGTTATTCCGTTGAGCTTCACAACACTTGTGTAAATTGCTGCTGCCTTTAAATAGGTGTCCTCTAAATGTGCTTCAGAAAAAGGCATATTAATCTATAATATAAGAGAAAAGGCTGTTCTAGTCCTTTGCCCTCCAGAATAAATTGCCCTCCCACCCCAGAATAAAGAGGTAAGACGCAGGTGATGACCCCAGCTGGCGAAATATCAAGCCCCCCACGGGCCTGGCCCCACTCTTTGGCAGCCCTCAGCCTGGTGGGGGCCCCAATCCATCCTTCCTCCGAGCACTGTAACCTCATGATCTGCAGTACCTCAAGGTCCGATGTGCTATCACTTCCTTTATGTTCCATGGCCATTCACCAATCCTAGTTCCTTCCACACTACTCGCCGTGTGACCTAAACAAATAACTCAGCAACCACGAACATGTAACAAAAAATAACCCTATGCCAATGTGGCACAGGTGAAAAATCCCTGCGACCACCTTACCAATTCTGGTAGGGGGTCAAAAATTCCTATCCGGCCCCCAACAGGGTGACCAGTCAGTCTCACACTGGTTTAAAGGGAGGGTGGTTGGGGTGAAAGCCTCAGAAAAGAGGCTGAGCATGTGGGGAAGTGCCCCTTTAAGGATGCTCCCCCTCCCCCCCGGGTAAAGAATGCGAGGAGCTCCGCTCAGCTCCGCTCAGCTACAAGCGTCAGCGGAGCCAACGCTAGTACCAGAATTACATTATAAATGACTTATGCACCAGAGTGCTTTATCTGTTCACAAGTTTTAGAGGTGTCATTGTGTTTTTTTTGGGGGGGGTTTGCTGTATGTATATGTTAGAAAAACTAGATATTCTGATTACAAATTAATAATCAATTTATTCAAATATAGGGTTTATGCTCAGAAAATAAAAGATGTGTAAAAACAAAGGCACGGAGACCTGATAATCTGCAGTGTTCTGGCTGTTTTGTTGACTAGCTTTTACAATCCACTTGTATACCCCAAACTTAAAACAGTATTTATGTGGTGTGTAATAAAGATTTGAACCATGATGCTGGTAGAAGGGGACCCCTTTGAGGGCATACTGACCTTTCATTTATCCTGCAAGCTATTGATAAGTTCAATAGTACACCCAGTACTCGCATATCTTACTTCTGCCATTTCTTACTTTCCATAGTTGTAGTTTCAGAATAGATAGTCATGTTAGTCTGTGCTAGCATGTCAGGGAAAAACAAATAAAAAATAAAAAAATAAGGAAGACAAAAAACATGAGGCACCTTAAAGATTAACTGCTATATTTTTTATGTGAGCTTTCGTGGACAAGCCAACATCTTATTTTCCAGGCCTACTGTTATGCTAAAAAATTGGGCCCTGGTGCTTTCAGTTTTGCATCAGAAAGATTGGGTTGGGGGAACAGGTCTAAGGCTAGAAATGGCTCATGGCAAGTGTTATGAACTCATGATGAAATATAAAATATAATGCTGTTAATGTGTTTAGCTTTATGATAAGAAATTTTAATCTTGGAGCGAAGGTCATACTTATGATGGCTAACAGCTGGATATTGTTTCCAGCAGATGCTAAAAAATAAAAAATAAAAATGGATGAATTAAAAATATGACAGCTTTTCTCTCTTATCTTTATGCTTTGCTTTGTCTTTCATTTGTGTTATAGCTGCAGCAGATGACAGATGTTACAGATACGCAGACTGTGCCAGCTGTACTGCCAATACAAATGGTTGTCAATGGTGTGATGACAAGAAGTGCATTTCAGCAAATAGCAACTGCAGTGTGGTGAGTATTTATGAGTATGTGGATGTTTCATTAATGACAGTGCTTTGTAACTATTAGCTTGCTCTTTGGTGCTGTCAAATGTAAATGTGCCATTATAATCAGATGTTTGAAATACACACTAAATTATCTTAATAAATTAATTGCAAAAAAACTCTATTATCATTGGAAAGAAAAAATAATGAAGTTCATACAACCACCTTTCTCCCAATTTCCCTCCCCAATCAGGCAGATAGCATAACCTTTGATGAGATTTGTATGGATAGCTCAGTGAATTAGGTATCTGGCTATTGAGCCAGAGACTGGGGGTTCAATTCCCCACTGTGCATCCCAGAAGAGTCAGCCTGTGTGGCCTTGGGAAAGCTGCACAGTCCCAGGATGCCCTCAAAAGAAGGGAATGGTAAACCACTTCTGAATATTCTTTACATAGGAAACCCTAGGGTCACCATATGTCAGAACTGACTGAACAGCAGAATTATTGTTATTAAAGTTCTTTAGAAAGGAAACAAGGCTGTTGTGCTGCCTTCTTGGCCACTTCACCCTGCATTTTCTTTAGAGCCCCTTCTAACACTGCTTGGTTATCACACAGTGTAAGGATTCAGCATCAAATATTCAGGATTAGAGATGGATAATTAACTAAAAAACAAATCACCAAATTCATTCAAAAATTGCTAATTCATTGATTTGTATTCATATGAATCCAAGGCCTAAATTATACACACACAAAAAGATCTCTGTAATTTTGGTGTCTCTTGGTGCTTGGGGGGAGCCTTCCTGGGGAGGTCCTCCTTGTTGGGTGTATAACTCGGATGTCTGAAACCCAAACTTCACCAAACTTGCAGGGCTTGTAGAGGAGAATCATGGGAAGTTTCCCTGCTTGAGGGGCCACTTTATAGGGTTGTAAATTAAAAAATGAATTGACAAATTTATTCATTGATTCATCAGAAAAAAAATCATAAATTTGTAATTTGTGAGTTGTTGACCTTGATGAATCAAAATGAATCAGAATTTTTCTGATGCGTGCCCAACTCTACTCAGGATCTTGAGCTCTTTCTGAACAGCATAATAAAAGTTAATAATTATTCCAGTTCATCCCAAAGCATAATTCATTGCAAAGATATCCAGAAGTATCAATATATGTGTGCTGATTCTTACACTTCAAGCATTAAGTATGAGACTGAGTACTGAGAGTAGAAATTTCATTTCAAGGTTATTGCACTCAAAATAAGAGATTTGGGGGTAGGTATAGTTACATTTATGTTCTATTTCCCCCTCTTGTGAACATAAGGTTGCCACCTTCCTTCTCCCCTTTATCCTCACAATAAACCTTTGAGATAGGCCACTCAGTGAATTTCAGATTTTCCAAGTTCCAGTTCATTTCACTTGCACTAACCCTAACCAATACTAGCATGAAAGAATGGCTCCAGATTTTATTACAATAAGGACCTATTGATATGCTAATTTTAATGCATCTACTCTAGGTACAACTAAATGTACATCCAACCCATAGTTATGAAAACAGTGCTGCTGATAATACTCCCATAATACTCCCATATTGCACCTTGCTTTGTGAAGCTGAAGTCTTCATTGTCCTTTCCCTTAAAGCAAGTGTCAGATAATTAAGCATTCCCTTTACCATTTTACTGAACTAATGCTACGAAAAATACCAGCTGCTTAACAAATTTCATGATTAGCTTAAAGTAAAAAAAAGTACATTCTCGCAAACATGATTGCTCTTATTGTAATTTTTATTTAGATATTTTTCCTTGCTTTGTATATTTTGTGTCGAACATGAGGTGGAGATTTTTACTACCGTTTTATTTTTTTACTCTGGAAACGAAAATTCACTCTGCCCCCCCACACACACACACTTCTAACCACCCTGATACATGTTCCCTTGAGAAGAAACATGGAGATTATTATCAAAAGTGATTGACTTTACTTACGTGTTATCGGTGGCAGACAGTAGTGCTTTTGACAGGAGAGTAAAATTACTTGCGATAAGGCAAATCCGTAGAAGCACATCAGAATGCTGTGGGTGTTTTTATAGATGTGATAAACATTTCTCTTTAAAAGCAAACAAATATTAGGAAAAGCTATATGCGTGCTTCAGTTTTCAAGAAAAAGATTCCAAATACCAGCTTATATGATTTTTCACATGTGACGCTTAGAAAAGTGATGGAAAAAATCTGGATAGGAAATGAACAAGGGAAAGAACTAAAGCAGGAATATTACACTACAAGTATATATCATATAAGGCCTGTTAGGCAAGGACAGCTGGATAATGAACAGAAATTATACTTGGGACTTGTCCCACATCATATATTATCTTTATTGGGAAAGCAATGGAGCTGAAATTCTCAGCAGGTCAGGAATGCAGAAATGCAGGAAACATTGTCAAAATGTAAAGTGTGTTCAAGCACACCCTTCTCAATCATTCTTCTCTGTAGCCTCCTGTTCTGCAGTCATAGGCTTGAATCCATTCTGTCACCTTTACATCAGACTTGGTTCACACAAATCTCCTGCAAGTTTTGCTGTCTCTTTGCATGAGATGTTGCTGACCACGACGAGTGTGTTACTCTCTTGCTCAATACTCAAAAGAAGGAAGGACTGGGTAGAAACCTCAGTTATTCTGCCAATATGTTAAAGAAATACAAATAATGTTTGGATGGCCCAAATCCTGTTGCTTAGCATAATTGATCAAACTAAAGTAGGCCACTGAATCAATGGGGATTTGGTGAGTCAACTCCTCCAGAAGTTCTGTTAATTCAAATGGATCTACTTTAACTGCAACTTAGCATGGTAAAATAAGTCATAGCTAGAGTAGGCCCATTTGAATCAATGGAACTTACAGAGGAACTGCCTCACCAGATTCGTGTTGGTTCAGTGAGTCTAGTGTGATTTACTATGCTAAGCAACATGATTTTGGACAGTACATTATTATTTGGTCATTTGCCAATTTTATTCATTTTTCCTGCACAAAAATGGAAATGCACGTGAGTTTTCTACACCTGCAATACTGTTCTTTATATTCTTGTTTTAATTGTTGCCATTTTCCTGATGGATTCATACAGCCCAAAGCAATGTCAAGCCAATGTTATTTTTATGAATAAGAAGTTAAAAGACAGACAGACAGACAGACAGACAGATAGATAGATAGATAGATAGATAGATAGATAGATAGATAGATAGATAGATAGATAGATAGATAGATAGATAGATAGATAGATGTCCAATAAAATATTGCTAGAGAATAGAAATTTTAAAAAGATACAAGATATGTACGATATAATAGTTTCTTTGTCCCATACTCAACTTTATGGTGCCTTTGAGTGTTGTTTTTGATAACTTTATTTGGGCAGGTGAAATAAAAAACATTATGCAATTGGTGCAGATTTTTTGTCATTAAATTATATATTCTGCATTTTCAGTATTTATTTGAAGAATTTTCAGTTAGAAAAAAAGCTATAAACTAACAACATTTAATGAGCCAACTTCACATTAAGCACTGATTTCAAACGCAACCATGAATTCTCACTGATTTACTTTGTTTTTAGAGGTATGAGACACCAAATTCATCAAAATATGATTATAATAAAACACACATATTTTAAAAAGCATGAATGTGTATACTGGGCTGAATGTAGCAGATCTTTTTTGAGTCAAAGTTACAGAAGCAGTTGCAAATTCACACCAAGTAGACATCAGATCCAGCAAGCAGTTCCACAAATACAGAACTTGTGCAAACACTTGTGAAGCTGGTTGTCCAATCAGACACGCAGTTGCCTGGGTACAAATTAATGCAAACTTTCACAGTTGTGATTCTACATTGCACCATGTGCTACAGAGTAGAAGCCATTATTACATATATGTGGGTCCATTGTGAAAGGCAGGGAATGGGTGCTTTTTACCTGTTTCTGTAATCAGCTGACTGAAAAGCAGTTCATCTCCTGTTCCAGATATTGCTTGCTTTGCCTTTGTGATATCACATGAATCCACTTCAGTATTTCAGGTTTTGGCCCTGAAATATTACAGCTGACAAAGTACTAATCTGTTAATAGAAATTATGCAATGTGCCAATGTTATTAGATTTCCCTTATGGTGAACAGTGATGCTTCATTATGTGTTCACATGAGCATAAGCAACCTAATTTTAAAAGTGAAACTTGAGAGGAAGCCACAATCACAACCTCAAATTCAAATTGTTTATTCGCTGCTTCCTTGTAAGATATATAGTAGCTGTTACTATATTTATGTATTCACAAAACAGAAATGAGGAGAACATTTCCAATGAAGTTGCAAAGGTATCTGAGTTCTTAGTTGCTTTTCTATTTGTCTGGAAAGATCTTATCTTTCTGTTTTGGGTCATGGAATGTATGGCCCTCCAAATGTTATCAGACAGTAACTACCACAAATCCTAGCAGGTCTAGCCAATGGTGAGGGATGATGAGAGTTGAGGTCGCAATTATGTTTTGAGGCCAACCCATTCCCTGACCTTCTTCTGTTTAGTAGGCTAATGTGACAGGATGAAGCAGGAACATATCCTCTTGTAACACAGGAGTACAAAGTGAAACAAAGTGAAACTCTACTCCTTCCTAATTTTTCTCAGTAAAAACAGAGCAGCAGTGTTTTCTGATTGAATTATCCAGCTCAATTTTAGGTTGAGATATGATCTAATTTTGTGCCTGCCCTGTTCACAGAGATTTGCCTTTCCAGTGCTCTGGTTAAATTTGTAGATCTTCAGTTAACCATAACTTCCTATTTTATGTGGTCTGGGAAATTATGATGATCACATTGGGAACAAGCCAGGATATTCATGCATGCTTTGAAGTAGGTTTGAGATTGTGGCTTATTCCAAACATGGTAACCATCATTTCTTGAGCCAGAAAAAAATGTTTATGTTTCAGTGAAGACTTTCAAGCTTAGTGGGATGAACTGAGAAGAAAGAATGGACTGAATGAAAGAACACAGAGCTCACTTAGTTTGTTAGGCCTAGATAAGATT